CGACATTGAATGATGTAACAGTGTTGACTTTTGCGAGAGTGAAATTCCGAAGATGAATGAAAGGCTGAATCGTTTCCTGATTTTCGGAGATGGTTTGAAGGTTGTATACCGATTTACTAAACACCTTTCATAAGGTACCAGAGTGGACACTTTTATGAACGAAACAAATGATTAACGATCATACAGTCTGTCCATTAAACCAATCATTGCCCAGGACAAAACAACATTATGGAAAATGATATAAGACTATAACACCAGAGTGGCTTCAAAACAAGATTTACTATAGGGTTGTAGAGATGGTGGAGTTTTCATTGAGTAATGATCCGATCTATATGAGACCACCGCTGAAGACATGGAAGCACTGGACGGCCACTTCGTCCTAGTACGGTACTTTTCAGAAGTGAAAATCCACGATCCCATCATTTAGGACCAAACGTAGAAACCCTGGTCTCGTTAGAACGTTTAAACTCTAGACCACTGAGTCAGGATCTAGCGGTGTTAATGTCTAACTTCAACCAATCCACAATATTGCGCGACCATCATAGATTGTTTTCGGTGGGTCACCGCCTCACATTTGACACAGATGAAAACTACTGGTCACGGCTTCTCATTGGAATTCCGAGAATCACCTCTTAAAGCCAGTCACTAGTGAACACATCCTAATTGTTATAGGGTTGTAGAGCTTGTTTAGTTTCTATTGAGATCATGAACCATTTTATACAAAGAAATCAAACAAGAAGTTGATCATTCTCAAAATAATGGTTTTTTTACCTGCAGTTTCAGAAATGAATCATCAGCAAGTGAAGATGAAGTTGGTGTTTATTTCAGTGGTTTTTAATTAGCTTTATTCAACACCATGTTATCAATTCACTCAACTGATTTCAATAAAACTTCACATACTGAAATTCACGGGAAGCAATGAATCAGAGCCAATAAAAGGACTTTTCATCATTACTGTATTCATATATTACTGAAGTAAACATGTTCAAAAGCAACCGGATGATACAGTTATCAATAAGATGTTTGATAATTTTATAATTTATCAGGAGCGGTCTGTAATGAGGGTCTAAGATCAGTTCATGGCTTTGTCTATGAAATGATTACAAACCCCAAAAATCACTCTATACTAATAATGAATATATGCTCATTGCTGACTAGCTTCAAGGTATATTCCATGGAGTCCTTATGAGAAGCAATGATCAGTTATGTCCGTCAGTGGCGGGTGTAAGACAGATATTTACAGAGAAAAGTTGATGGGAATAGCTCAGTATCGCGAATTGGTTGGATTCAAACATCACCACCACTGGTTGGCAGCTCAGTGGTGTAAAGGTTAAGTGTCACTCGCGAGATCAAAAGTACTGGATTCGATTCCTTGATGCAAGTTCATGGATCAGCACTGTTGAGAAGTTCCATACTATGACAAAACGGCCGTCCAGTGCTTCTAGATTTCCAGTGATGGTTTAATTAAGATCAGTTTATGATTTAATCTATGAAAGCTTATCAGATGTATCTTTGGTTAAAAGGGAGATTTTAATTATCAAGATGTCATCAGTTTTTTAGTGATATACATCCCCAACAAATTTTTGTATATTTTAGTTAAACTATGTTAGGTTATTGTATAATATATCGTTCAAAGCATGTCGATTAAACCACATATTAGCAAGCAAACAACTATCACTCGTAAGCAGTTGTGTAGCAGAATCATTTCACAAATTTCATTTATTTATAAACTACGGGTTTTACAGATTATCTAAATTATTTTATTTTATTTGTAATTACTTATTTCGTTCACATGTTTGTGTTTTGATTGGACACGAACGAACATGATTTATTCTCTTGTTTATTAATTTAACTAATTATGTGCTAGTTTAATCAACTCAACTTGATGTAAAATGGATGAGGAGTGTACTACTCAACTATACTTACTTTTGACAGAACATGATGAATGTGTAATATAAATTGTGTATTCAATGCGTATGTACTTCATGATGAATCACATATTTATCCTCCATTCTGTTTAGCAAAGATACTTGAATAATATGAAAATACTAGCAATCATCAAGGTGTATGACTTATTTCAAACTATTCGATTATTTGGCACTTCATTAATTAGTCAATTAATTGTAAAACGTTTCTATGTGTACGTAGTAAAACTTTACTTGATTTCTGCTACTTTAATTGTTATGAGTAATAGAAGTGACTGTATAGAGTACTTGTAATATTCTATGCCGATAAGTTGTCAGTGTGAACAAAGTGAAACACTGGTACTCTATGACTTTTAAAGTTCAAACTTCTTTCATTAAGGAAATTAACTTAATGTTAGCGAGTTCATCAAAGAAAATACAAAGATGAAAATGATGTTAATATTTATATAATATCTTTAGTATATGAAACAGAGACAATATTCATATTTGTGTTTTACAAATTGAATTGAATATTTTTTTAGTCGAAGTCTCTATATTAATTTGTAAATTTACACTTGGTTTCATCTAAACTCAATGGTTTTTGTTTTTTAATATCTTAGGCACCTATCTCAGTAAATGTTTCTCAATAAAATGAGAATATTCTCTATTGAAACATGATCTCTCTGTCTCACAGATATTGAAAATTATTTCCTTCCTGTTGTGTTGATTATCAAATATCGGTTGAAAGCAACGCAATTTAAGTAAAATAATTCAAGTGGAAGAGTGCATTGATAGGATTGTGTGCAAATCAGGTATAAAATTATTCAGTAAAATAGTAAAGTACATTTTGTGCAACAGCGAAAAGATATTCAAGACAAATAGTGTTGGGAAACGGAGTTTCATGGACGGATAAATTTATAAGCTTCATTTTCTCTAGGTACAAGTGTTTTTTTAAGCTTGTCATTACATTTACATCAAATTTAACTTTACTTTGGCCAAATGATAAATCAACTGAAATAAACGATAGAGAAATTCGACAAGTTTTGAAACTGATTCGCGTTTTTCTTAGTGAGTTAGTTTTCTACGGGATGAGTTCGCTAACCCCATGCCCAACCCTCCCCCTTCGTCCGGGCTTGGACCGGCAGTAGCCCCAGAGGGGCCCCAGGCGGAGTAAAGTTTTGAAACTAAACTTAAATAAAGACACTGTTGTTTTTTTGTCGTGAACGAGAACAGAGATGGTGACAACCGATTTGTTTTATTATAAAATTACAGTATCTTGGTAAAATATAAGGACCATACACTAAATACTTCATTTGCAAATTTCCATAATTTGTTGTTCACATTCTGTATGACTCTTCAAGTTTACAATTCTTTTGTATTTTCACTTCTACTCTCTTGAACTCGATCTTCTTAACCTTTTGCTGCCAGATTTTCCACTATCGATTGAAGTTACATATTACTTATGTCTGCCTACATAAATGGCATCCACCACACTCGTACCCTCTTAAAAGGCCTTCTCTTGCGATTGTTCTGCTCGGTGTGCCACTTTCTTCTTTTCTGAAGCCTTTGCCACGCTCCGCGGGACCAACAAAATCCAATTTCCCCCCAACACCTGTAACATTTGGCACCTGCGCCCCAGAGACTTTCTGAGCCATCTACATCCGATGTTGCCATGCAGTCGCATATCCTGCTGCTGCTATCCGTCGACAGCAAGTGCTACAGCCAACACCGCCATGTTAGAACATTCCACTCAATGTACCGTTCTCGCACTAGACTGCTCTAACTAGCGCCTTCTCTTTTAGCGCAGCAACAATGTCTGAAGAACTTCACTTTCCCCGGCTCCTTTTTGGCAGCGACACCAAATGTTGTGAACGAGAACTCAGGTGAAAACAGATAATGTGATTTATTATAAAACTATAGAGTATCTTGGTAAAATATAAGAACCATACACTGAACTTTTTACATTGTTCACTTTCTATTGTTCATAAGTACTATTTTTAGATTGAATGAATTTGCCATAAAACATCATGTTAGAAATTAAATAAATAAATAATTTGAACAATATACATTTACACATTAATTTGTTAGCCGTCGAAATTACTGAATATCTTCAAATCTGACTACCGACGTTACAGTATATTATTAAGTACTTACAGGCTTGTTACATTAAAATTATTGGCAGATTAAATTTTGATAATACATTTAAATGAAGTAAGTGGTAAAATTTTCTGAAAAATGTTTTCAGGATGCTTGCAGTTTAATTAAATGAAACTGATATTCTAGTATTTCAAACTAATGATCCTCATAACAATGACATCTCAAGACAGATACTAGTTAGTGAATATAATGAATAACCATAGATGGTACTATAGTTAGAAAAATAATCTATTTTCTTTGGTGGACACGCTATGGCGACTTAGTATATTGTTAAAACAATCGTAGAGCTATTCATTGTTTGTTGAGCACACCTAAATCTTATGAGATACAGTAACAGCGCGAGCTTTTTAGCAAATCTAATTTTCCACATGACTTCTGACCTTTTATGATCAGTAAATTTTTGTATGCTTGAAGGTTATGCTTTTGTCACCATATATACAAAGATGTACCATGTCACGTCAATCTGCTTTTAATCTTAGTACTTCATAAATTGCGTACTCTTCATGTGTTAACTGTTAAAGCATAAGATCGCAGCTATTGTTATCGTGACTGCTATAGAACTGTTCGTGTTAGAATGTCCTGATCATTCTTGAACTCGGAAAAGTTGTGGACCAACTGTAAACCACTACACCGTGGCGGCTTTTTAAAAAGATTTATCATACATATTCGTATCCGAATTAACATTCCTGTAGTTTATGATTATGGTTTAAGGAAAAAAACGTTTATATTCAAACTAAAAATTTATTGTTAAAGAACATAAATACACCAAAATTATGCAATACATAGTGAACTATTTCAAAAAAGCAATAAATTAATGGTGTGAATGTATATGCAAGAAGTTAGGGTGTTTAATAATGAATACATTTCAATTAAAATGACCAAAATATATATAAATTTGAAGCAATTACATAAATCAGTGAAGATTATGGACTTAGTCATTCAGAGAATGTATTTACTGATTCCCATGCAAACAAACAGAACAACAATAACATGACGATGAATAGATAATTTTGTCATTCCATTACATTTATCTGTTGAGCAACAACCGACTGTATACGCATGTTCCAATTGATCACATGTAGGTCCACAAAATTTACTAGTAACTCCAGAACCATGAGTTGTCTGAAGATGTAAATCAAAATTAAATATTCAATCGAAATAAATGATCAAATTAAAATTTGACATAGGTATATGAAACGTTGTACACAGTTATCAATAATAAATGATTGTGTAATTAATTTATTCAATAAGAATAATTTAGTGAAAAATAGAAGAATTTAATTCATTCAATTTAGATGATAGAAAAGACAATGAATTATATGTTATTTGTTTTTTTTCTTTATAATCATTATTTTTAAAATAACTGCTGATTTCTGGTTAGCGTTTTTTCAGCGAGTTAGTTTTCTACGGAATGGGATCACTGACTTCATGCCCAAACCTCCTCTTTTATCCGGGCTTGAGATCAGCAGTAACCTCAGAGAGGTTCCAGGCGCGTTTTACTATTAATAAATTACTTTGTCAAAAAAATTACTAGTCATTCGTGCAATATCTAAAATGTACAATTTTTTGTATGAAGTCCCATACTAGGACGAACAGTCCGTCGAGTGCTTCCAGGTTTACCATGGTGGTCTAACTTCAATTGACTCATGAATTCAACTATTAAATTACTAGAATATCCATGAAACTCTTCTCTGAAAATAAGTAAATATTTGTACATTTTTGAAAACATTTACAGAAAGAAAATAGATCAGTATTTTATTGGCATTGCTCTAACAATTCACTCCAGTTAGAAATATATTCATTTGCACGTTTATAATTTCTACTTATTTAGTTGGAACATTGTACATTTATAACCTATAAATATACCATAAATAGACATGATCAGATTTATTAGCAGAAATGGATGACGACTAGTTTATAATGCTTATAATGTTTGCAACTTTAACCAATATCGAGGCAATCAGCATAGGATACAAATATGTCAATATGAGACTAATCAGTTTCAGTTCTAAACATCAATAAGAAGACTCAACCAATATAAAAATGAAATGATCAGATTTAGTTTTCTTTATTAAACAAGAAATATACTACTGATGTTCATTAATAATATGACAGCAGATAAATTTTGATAAATCTGATTTTAAATTAACATAACCCAAAATGAATTGCGTTGTAAATCATTACTTGAACTTACTACACACCCTCCATAACCCTCTATAATCATATAGATAGTAATATTATCACATTCAAGACAAGTATGACAACTTACTGAATTATCTGTAAAATCAAATTAAAGAAATGTCATCATTTTAGAATCTTTACAATAGATATAATGCAATAAGCATCCGAAAAAACCCTGAGAATATAAAAACATAATTTTGACGGGATTTTGTTCTCTGAACTCTATGGTTTTGGTCGTGGAGCTCTCGTCGTCATTCTGAACGACAACATCAACACAAACTTCAGTTAGAAAATACTACCCAGAAATAGTCAATGTTATTGTTTCAAAGTAAACATACAAAAAAATATATTTCGAACGATACAAATTTAAAATAAGAAACAAATCGCTACTTATTACCCGCCAATATTTTAGTTTAAACGTTGAATTTCAGGTACGTTTTGAAAGTATAAATTACTGTTAGAAATGATAAATATCAAATCTTTTTATGTGTACATTTGAATTGTCACCACTTGTTTTCCGTTTTTATTTCAAAATGTGCTAATTTTGCTGTGATTTCGGTATTAGTAGTCTGTGGTGGTTTTTTCTGTGGTTTATTATACCTTTTTTACTTCAGTATAAACTATCGACATCAACTATTATTTGTTTTCTAAATACAAGAATACATATAATGCAAACATTTGTGAATGGGAAATAATTGGGATCACTTACATAGAGGATTTGTTTGGTTTTCTAAATTAAGTAAAAATGGAAAAGGAAGAAAATTTTTTATTAAAATTACAGTGTACTAGTCAAACAAATAACAATATATATATAAATGTTCTTTGAAATAAACTAAACCATATTAAAACAATTAGTCCCTTTTATAGAATTTCGATAGGACAATGAGAAGACGGAGTTGATCTGAAAGAATGTGATGTATTTGCTTCATACATTTCGAACAATCTGGTCACACATATACTTGTCAGGGCAATTTAAATGAAAATTAATAAAGGTCAATTAAATGAAAGTTCAAGTAAAAAGTAACAAAGGGGAGAGAAACAATTTTACATCGTATAAAAAGAATAAGAAATTGTTCGCATTATCCTAGGCCACAGAATGACTTAAGGATTACCAGGGTAAATTCAAGGTTACGACAATTTGTTTTTATACACATCAGGAGGGTTTAAATTTACAAATAGCCAAGGCTTCAACAAACTTGAGAGTTCATTTTTGACAATTTCTGTACAACGTTTTAAAAGCTGTATTAATGTCAATTTTGTGCCCCATTTCAATTATATGCTTCGCTATCGATGAACATCGTTTTCTACCTCCCACGTTGATCGGATCATTTGACACTAATTGGTTTTGAAGCCGTATTATCTGGCATTTAATTTTATTAGAATATTTGAGGTGCTTTGCCAAATATTGAATTATTTTATTTGTAAATTTCTAAGCTATAAACTTTATGACTCCGTATCGGAGGTTAAATGTTGAGTTTTTCTTTAGCATCAAGAAAACTGTATCACATCAAACACTGGAAACGTGTTTTGAAAGAAAAAATTATTTGATCCTGTCACTGAAGGTAGAAATGTGGAAATACTTATTTTTAAACTCATAGGGAATCGCTGAAGTAAATAAACTTAATAAGTTTTTATAAGCAAAGATGGATATTGGCTCTCAATGGAATCCAGGACGCGCGTTTCGTCCTATTTGGGGGTCGTCAGCTAGATGTACCTGCATTTGAGTTGATGTTCACTCTAGGACTCAAACCCAGTACCGTTCGCTTCAAACTCCGTCACGTTATCCACTTAGCTTTGAAAGGTACAATTAAACAACACCAGGTAAATATTAATGAGTTTTTCTTTACGTTTTCCTCTCCACATTGATCCACACTAAGAATATTGGTTATCATAGTCAGTCATTAAAGTGTATTATCCATATCTTTAAGTTTAATCAGTATTTAGCATGGCATAAGATCATAAATGGATATCATGTTTGACTTTTCTATTTAAAACTATAGGTAACTGAATAAGTTCATTCGTACAGATTTTTAAAACTGAAATACAAATCTATACATTTTAACAGTTGATCTGTTCAATAATCAGTCATTTAAACAAATAATGAACAGAATAAAATCGTCAATTAGTGGATACTTACATGCAATAATTTGCTAGGTATAGTAAATACGGGATCAATAGAAACGAATCATTTCACGAAGATGAAATTTATGTTGACAATATTTATTATTTTCTACTTACTTAGATGATCGCCAATTATTCGATTATTACACAGATCCGATTGGCATACATTCAGATTCTCCTTTGGAAAGTTTGTGGGAATCGCATTATTATGCAAACATATTCTGTGTACTGAATAATTTTCACCGGCAACCTATGATTCATTTACAAAGATATACTTATTAAAGTGATGTAAACTATCCTACAGATAATTTAATGGGCCTAATGTAACTAAAATAAATACGTCAGCCTGTACACATTTTGAACTCACAGTACCGTATAGTATTTCAATTTGATCATTTAATAAGGAAGTTGATAAGCAATGACAATGTATTCAAAATATAATCATAGAAATGAAATTAGCTTTGACCATAGGATATCCCTAACACATAAGCAAAGGTCGTAGGTCGTTATTACATTCAGTTCAACTATAATCTGAATATAAATACAATTAATACGTATTTGATGATTAGGTGTAATATTCTAACACTTTCAAACATTTGAGCAAGATTCGTATGTAAATCCAGATTTCAGTGAAACTATTCCTACAATAAGGAATGAGGAGAAATACCGAATATGAATAATAACATGTAGACGATATAGAATTTGAGTTTTTTGGAAACTACGAATTTTAAAGAACATCTGAAAAGTGTAATTTTTTAGTTTTGATGACATACTGATTCCTTCTGAAATTCTTAAAAGAACTTATCAATCTCATACTTAAGAGGTTTATCGCTAACATATTAATACCACAACCTTTTCACTAATTTGTATAACCTAAGAGTGAGTATATTGCATAGACTTATAGGAGACTTTAGAGATGCGGTTATTGAAAATGTTTTAGATACTTTATAACCCTGTTCAACATAAAGGACAAACGGCTTTAAATATCAAACTAAATGTCGAGTCTAACTTGCTTATTGTGTGTATTAAATTAGTAATCTAAATGGTAAATCATGAAAATAAATATGCAAATATAATTATGCAGATATATTTATTTCGAAATTTAACTCACTGCACATGAAGTACAGTTCTCATTTGATATTGACTTATTCGTTACTATGGGGCAGTAATCACACACATGACATTTAATTGATTGAATTTGATCTGTACAAAACAAAGTAAGTAGAGATATGTAGTATGTAGAATATTTTTATTTTAAAATCAGTAAAATACTCATCAGTTCAATAGGTAATATGATTGTCTTAATCATCACTGGGATCAGACAGGATAAAAACCACCACGACATTTTCAGAAAATATTCATCCTCAACTCAACACAATCAATCAGTCAATCAATTCACATTTCATCATATTCGAAAATGTATTGAATGCTGAGATTGATTTTTCTGATTCACAAATTTCGTAAGAGGAAAACAATGTATTTTGATGTTAAAGAATAGAACTAAATAAGCTGGCGGATGGGTGATGAAAGAATTCATTCATTGATTAATTTAAAATAAAACAGTCTAGGCAAACTATTCAACGTTGATTAGTATGCAAGTGGATTGAATGAGATCTATGATTATTGTTTATTCATTTGATCATGTCATAGGAGAATCTTATGATTATATGAATATCTGATGTGTTGTTGTTTGATGAGAATCAAACAATTGTGACGAAGTACTTCAATGAATAAGTGGGCAGTGAAAGTAGTTTTCCATATACTATCACAATTGATCATTCAGCATCCCTATGAATTTTAGATAGATCTTGATAGATTTTTGAGTATCAATAACTGTCCATCTGTATTGGGCAATTGCTACTCGTTTTAACGTGACTTTGAATGTTTTATGCTTATTTTCAGAGTAAACAAATACTGTTCTTAATTATTCATAATAAACAAATTAGCATTTATATTCAAATAGATATTTTACAAACGGTAGAGTCGTTAATTAAAGAAATCTTTCATAAAACAGAGAAATTATTTAAGTGTCACTGGATTGTCATAAGAAATTTGAGCCATTAGTGAAAACAGTTCAACTATGAGAATGAGTTGGTTCATTACTATGTACATCATTAATTTTAAACAATAAATCCAAATGCTTCTGAAAAAACGTGTAACATTCTAGTTAAAGTTTTAGATTATATGACACTGCTACATGAGAAACAAAAACTATACACATTTATTCAATTGATGACAGTAAACTGCTTTTCACTTAAAACACAGATTTACTGAAACCATTTAAGTAAAAATAATCTACCGAAATTAATTTGTAACAAATTGAGATGAATTGCCCTATGTGATCACATTTTTATGCTCTGTGTTTCTTGAAAGTGAATTAATTTTATTGTACATGAGTCCATGTATATTTCATTGCCAACAGGGTCTTACATATATGCAAGATTACAACGAAATTTCATGATTCCAATTTTCTCAGGTACATGCATTTGGGCTGTAGATTTTAATTTCATCTGAAGGAAATTCATTATTAGCAGAGAATATTTAGGATTTGAAAGTACTCAAAGTAATACTTCAGGATCATGATATAAAATCATTTCCTCTTCAAATCATACAAATTTTAAGTTTAAATATTATTCACTTACAGGCAACTCAAATGTATGCTACAAAATGTGAATCGAATTACTTACGTCTATCGAGTATATTGAATAAGAAATATATCGAGATTCCAATATACTTCAAACCTCCACTCATCATTCAGGAAATTTGAGATGCACAAATGCTATATATATATATATATATATATATATATATATATATATATATATATATATATATATATATATATATATATATATATATATATATATATATAAATGCATTTGAAACCTTGCTACAATCCATCAATAAATATGCACCTTCATAATCTACGCACATGAATTACCCAATTAATAACTAGAGTATCAGAAGTCAGTCAATAAAATCTGTCTATCAGTCACACTTCGGTGGGACTTAACTTGAACTATAAAAGTCAGTCAGTCAGCTACTGTAGAATGAATCAAGTATTAGACAATATTGTTATAGTATGTCTCACTCGACTAGATGTAAAGGAAAATTTAGAAAATGTTTTGAGCAGTGATAAATTTGCCGAATTTGTTCATCAAAAAAAAAGTAATTAAAATTTGTCACCTTGCAATAATTGGTAGCTTGAATTAAAACAGTTTTTACAAGTTTAAAAAGTATCAAGCAACAGTGATGTATATCAATTATTGTTTTGTGGATTAATAATTGATTTATTGTATATAACTGAAGAGAAGAAATTAATGTATCATAATCATCATTTAATTTGATAATATATGTAGATAAATGTCAACAATCCAGATATTTCCTTTACCATGCTTTATAGAATCTTTCACAAATAAGACAATGGGATTAAAGCTCATTAAAACAAATGGATAATGTAGGTGGTGGAAATGAAACAGTTTGGCGTCTACTGACATCGAATAACTTGAAGGTGTATATGCTAATGATATTTGGGTATCAATGTTACAATATCCCTCTGGATCTCTTTTTAGTGGTTTGGATTTTTGGAACCAATCAACTTATTAATGAACTCATTGTTCAGGAAGAGCCTACAACGGTGTAGTAATTGAGTTGATTTTCGTCAAAGATTACACTCTATAAAACGTTTTATTCATTATTCTATTATTCCCTTTTTTTATGCAAATGAAGCCTGTTAGTCAGAAATGAAACGAATGAACAATTTCTCCTAAGTTGTTATTAACACAATAATTTTCAGAATATCATTGAACCATTCAATGTAATGCATGACCAGTTACCATTGTAATAGATTATTTTTCCCCCTATTTCCCTACAGCTTTGTTGATCAATCAACCCTACTTTTGTGAAGTAACCACATATATGTAGTTAAACAATTCAAGTAATATAAATGTATAAACATATATTTATTGCTTGTTAGCTTGATAAATAAATTTATTTAATCCATGTTTTCGGATTATATACTACATAAGGGTCATATTACTACTCAAGATTTCAATAGTTGAAATCATGAGTCAATTGAAGCTAGGCCACCATGGAAAACCTGGAAGCACTAGATGGCCGTTTCGTCCTACTATGGGACTTCTCAGAAGCGAGCATCCAAAATCCCGCCTCGCGAGATTCGAACCCAGGAGCTGTCAATCTCGCGCGAACGCTTAACCTCTAGATCACTGATCAGGCCGGCATCCACCGGTATTAATGTCTAACTTCAACTAATCCACGAAATTGAGCAACACACCCACCATTGTCTTCAGTGAGTTATTATCTCACAACAAATCTGGTTGAACTCCACTGGTCACTGGTCAATAAATGTTACTTATTATCAACATGTTCAGTATTGTTTTGATATATTTTTTTTGAAAAGGTATACTTAAACACCAAATTGTTTGTCGTTGATTTCTGTCAATTTTCATGAAGCAATATACTATGAAAAACAACATCTGTTATTTCTTGAACACTGATATTGTGTAGTATAGTGTTTTTCATTGTTATTATTATAAATTCTTGTTGGACAGTATTTCTTTATCCGAAGCAATCATTATCATAATTTTCATGGCAATAAGTATAAAAACAAATCAAGTACAACTAATACTGTTCAACTACAAAATAATTCATCATTTTGTATTATCATTTCAGTCATTGTATGAATGAATAGCTAGTTATTAATTTATACAAAAAATATCGTTGGTTACATTTTCTGTTTATGAAAAAAAACCCAGTAAAATCAGGTTTTTATATTATCGAAACCAAGGGGGTTAATTTATTAAATGTGTATTATATCGTATTGATCACAAAGTAATTTATGATACAAAGATCGGATAATTTCAGTAAAGACGCTAATGAGACTAGATTTCGTCAACTATTCTGAATATCACTTTTGTTTTAGCTTTAACTTATGGAAGCTATAGTTAGGATAGATTATTGACTGAACGATATGAACTATCTGGAAGTTTCCGAAGAGCTAAAACAACTTACATGCAACATTCTCTATTCAATATTTTGTCTCTATTTTTGATGCAAATAATTCCCACACTAATTCATCTTACAAAAATATTCATATTAAGAAAAGTATTCATCATTCCAACAAGTTTGTTAGATGTTAACCGTATCCGAGTACATTTTAATCTTTGAATAAAGAAAGAATAAGACTAGTAGTAGAACAATATGAATTCATTGATATCCTTACTATCTAGAAACGAATAATTATGTACAAAACAAAATTTGTACCTACTTTATATGAGAAAGAGGTTTAGATTAAAATTTAGTTAGATATGGAAACGTCAATTAATAAAAGACAATAATTGTAGACGTATAAAGACGCTTGTTCAAAAGTTCGTACATTAACAGGTTGAATATATAAATGTTATAGAAGAAAAAGTTCAGAAGAGCATAGAAACAGAAGTTCTATAAATGAAATGAGAAATTAATACTATAATTTACGTGAAACTTGAAAATAAAATAGAATTGCTCAACTGAATACAGCTCGGATGAAAAATAGAAAATTATAATTCATATCATGGAAAAAATGTTACATAACAGATATTGGTATCTGTGGTCAGGATCCTAAAGAAAGATTTATAACTACACGTTTGAATCCTTCCACTGTGACCGATTCAACAAAACATAGTAAACTGAATGTCTTTATGTTCATTATTAAATTAACAAGAAATCGCACTACAAACACTAGTCATTCAATTTATTCATTCATTCAATGTATGTGCTTTGCTATGTACATATAAATTGGTGGGCATATTAAGTGTGATATCTGGAAGTTGAATTTTTGATATATCGCGTATAACTTGAGCACTCGAACGTTTGAACTGTCCAAGTTGCAAGTTAGTAGGCAGAAGACGAGATGTAAGGAATCTTATTTTTAACTCTGTCAGATATAGTACGAAAACACTTGGGTATTTATAATTTTTAGTAAAAATGAAATCGTCATTACAACAACAGTAGTTCCTAGCATTTGTTCAATCAGGAAGCTACAATTCGAGATTTTAGAGTGTTCTTCCGAACGATGATTGGATAGAATGTCTTCTGCTCATTCAGAGCTTCCTGAGTTCATCGGGAGCTTTCTCCACAGAATGAAGTAATATAATATGGGAATTCGTTTACTTTTGACCATTGCAATCAGTAATTCATTTAGTAAAAAGAAATCCACTTGGCTGATGAATATAGTCTTTCTAAGCTGAGCTTTAATATGAAATCATTTTATCACTTTTGTAGCCAAGGCTAAAAGAGACAGGCTTTTCAGAAAACTAGATTTCCTTTATTTCAATCTTCCCATACTTAGTTTTAAATGTTTAAGGGTAACCATTATCACAAAAACCACGTTCAACTACGGCTAATTCTCTCTCAATCCTATTATCTGAACACAAACTTTCTACCTGGTTGAAGTACTTTCGGATCAAAGTTCGCCGTAGCGCTCTGGAAAAATCTGTTGAAATCTAATCGCATTCCGTCCTGCTTCGTTTCGATGAATATATTCTTGAAACTGCGCCTTTGTATTATGCCCAGTATCAAAGTCTGTAATGCAAAACATGCCATCAGGTGACATAATTTGGTGTGTTGTATTGATAAGCTCCAACTTATGGGAAGCGTGTTGATAATCATTACTGGCAACAAATGTAACGTTAAAATAGTCGTTCTTCAACGAAAGATTTTGATAAACTCTTCCCAGAGTTACTACATACTTGTGACTGAGCCTCTTACAGTAAAATAACTAAATTATACGTGAAATGTTATATATTCACCAACTTTATTGATAAGGCCTTTTTGAGTTCAATTTGCGATTTCACTATAAGTTAAGGGTTTTTATATACAGGTTATTTGCAAAAGCTGACAGTTTTCGAAAACTGCCTGAAATAGTTACGTATGTTTAGTCAATGTTTGAAGAAACGTAATTTTTCATGTCAATAATTATAATGCTTTACTGTTTCTATAAACTGTACTCAAGTATTCAAGTTTATTTTTAAGTACCACGTCAACTATGGTATCAACCTTTCATTTGCATTTAAAACTTCTGTTTTTATACACTTGTCAGTTCTTTCTCTAGAATATTTATACTGTCATAAACTCTTACTATTCGAGCAATTATGTCAAAAGATGCAGAAGAATGAGTTTTAGTTACATTGATAACTAAATCCAACTGAATAACTTAGACTCACTAACAGATGGGTTATTGAATGTTTCTTTATTAATAATTGAATGAAAGGCAAATATATGGAAAATATATTTTTCATATTGATCAGTCAAGTGGAAATATTATAACGAAATAGAAACTGACAAATAAATGCAAATAAATTTCATTGTATTCTAGCAATGATAATTAGTGTTTCAGATCAGCTGACGAATTCTTTACAAAAATATTATCCCATAATAGATATACTAAGGTGACTTCTCATGTACTACAGTGGAGACCGTATAACTCTTATTATAAACGGTTTATAACGACATACCAACCATCATCTCTTAACATATATTTAATTAGAATGGTGGTTGGAGATAGTAAACAGAAAACTCTGGACCTAGATTTCGTGCTACTTGGCACTCGTCAGCAAGGTGTACTTGTAATCTTGTGGGAACTGATGACCCCTGACGGATTCAATCCCGTGTCACTCAGCTTCACAGTCAGATACGTTACCATTGAGCTATCCGGGCCGTGTGTGTGGTGAACAATGTTATGTATGTCAGCTCCTTCTTAGTGCAGATCGAATCTTATCATATATTCAATTACAAATTAGTTTTCTTGAAATTTACCTCAGCTAACTGCTATTCTCTAGAACAAGTAGATTTGCGTTCAAAATAGAAATTTATTACAAATATTACGATAAATGTAGTACATAGTGAACTAGTTCAAAAAGCAATGAATTAGTGGTGTGAATGTATATGCAAGAAGTTAGGGTGTTTAATAATGAATACATTTCAATTAAAATGACCAAAATATATATAAATTTGAAGCAATTACATAAATCAGTGAAGATTATGGACTTAGTCATTCAGAGAATGTATTTACTGATTCCCATGCAAACAAACAGAACAACAATAACATGACGATGAATAGATAATTTTGTCATTCCATTGCATTTATCTGTTGAGCAACAACCGACTGTATACGCATGTTCCAATTGATCACATGTAGGTCCACAAAATTTACTAGTAACTCCAGAACCATGAGTTGTCTAAAGATATAAATGAAAGCCAAATATTCAGCCAAAAGAAATCATTAATTTGCAGATACGTTTAATTTAAGTGGGTGAAACACCAAACACGTCACTTGAAGAATATAACTAATAAATGGTTTTTAACCAAGATGAATGGTGGCTAGTAGTGGAATCCAAAATATGCGTTTCTCTCTATTTAGGACTTGTCACATGGATATTCACCTCCGGACTCGAACCTAGTATAGTTCATTCCTCACGTCGCCGAGTTATACACTTTGCTACTGAGTCTAGATGGCTATTGTCTTGTGCAATGGGATGAAACTTAATTCGTCAATACAAGTAAAGTCATTGATTTGTAATAATTTATTCGATGAGCATAAATCAACAACAGATTTATCTTAGGACATCGTAAAATGTTCTAAATCAGTGTAAAGTTTAGCAGTTGTAAAATTTCTTTTATTTTGTTGATCTTAATTTGAGTTTGCCTAACTTTAATGACTATATAGGTGATGTCATATAAGTCAATATAATGATTTACCAACTATCGGCTAGGTTAAATGTGATGAACATGGTCGACACACAATGTAATTTAACTCATGATCATTTCTGATTACAAAAATCTAATCTAGAATATTTCGTAGGAAGTGAGGATTTGTGATGTTAAACACGAGTTATTGACTAGCTGTATTAAAGATGTCATTTATACTGCTTGAAATGCTTACTTTTCGTCAACCAGTAAAACACGCAATCTAGCATTACAATCTTCTTATTACATCATCATTTTTATCCCTTGTTCATATGTCCTCACGGAACTAATACTCTAACAAAAAAATTTTCAGATATATATATATATAATTGTACAGCTTGATAATAAATAATAATTAACACTTTAGTTGTGCTTTGAATACAATTAACCAAGATTGGTACTGTCTGGATACTGATCAAATTATTGTGTCTTATTCAAAATACTAGGAAAGTTCGCTTAGTTTATTATGTACCATATCAATGGAAATATACTAAATTTCACACAGGTTTCACTGTGAAATAATTATTACGTCACAAAATCTTTGATATATAATACATTGTCTCTTTTTTATAATGCCACTGATGAAGTAAATGTAACTACTTCCTTAGTAACCCGTAGAACAGTTGATATAGTAGTAATTAGTATACGAAAATCAAAAACTTAAATTTTTGTCTTAGTTGTAATTTTAGTCATATACAAAATTACTATTCAGTTTGTTTGGTTAAATGCTTTTAAAAAAAAGAGAGATTATTTTGACAGTAGATACAGTCAAATTATATTTCAAAACTATTTCAATATTGTTCTCAATTCTGATTGAGTACATTTATAGAATTCCATTGAGACGAATTACTAGATACATTCTAATATTTAACTGTTGAATTTAAACTTAGTGAATGCAATTTCTTTTAATAACTTGAAGCGAAAATTATTCATCAAATTTTACTTTTACTCAAGTTATAATGAAATATATTACGATGGTTATTTGAACTTACCACACATCCACCACAACCGCTAATAACCTTTTGGTTACTTTTTGTACAGTTCAAACAAGTATAGCAACTGATTGGTTTTGCTGTGAATTGAATTAAAGAAATCAACATGATATAATGACAATATAATAAAAATGAGTTACAACTGTCAATATACATATCATCGGATAACTTATATAAATATTGTCGGATATTTATATTCAACTTGAAATGACTGTATGAAATGCAAAGAAAATTATTATAATTTGTCCTGTAGAACGATTTTCATTTACCTCTTGTATGGAATGAAGTCATGAGATTAGACGTAAGGGTCTAGACTTGACATAATCAAAATACTATGTTAAAATAATACACATTTACTATACAAGATCTATGTTAATAAAGACAAGATTGAAATAACACTAGTTGATTATAAACAGAGTGAAAATTCACAATTTAGTTTACACATATATTTTAATGTTACTGTTAAATGATCTCAACGACGTTCATTCATAATGGTTTACAGGTATCACATCAAAATGTATCAAATATGAAATACTAATATTGCATCATTTATTTTTCAGTGTATTCATTTTGCCACAAGTTAAGTGTTTTTAATCGATTGTAAAATCACATACAGTTTAATTTTGTAATAATCATGATAACTTAAAGAAAACAAATTACTTACCTATAGGCCCTGGTGGAGGTTCTAAAACCAATTTTAGAATAAAAAAAATGTTAAAACAATAACATTTTAGTGAAACGATAAACCAAAAAAATTGTACTTCACAACTTCTTGACTAAAGACAGAACTATGTGAGATTGATATTCAACGTCATTACTTTCAATAATTTCAATCTACCAACCATAACCGAATATTTTAGATAATAAATATTTTATAAGTTCATATGTTTGTAGACCAATTAACACACAGACGTTAAGACTATCCCAGAGAAAGTTAAATACGAAGTCTATTTAGATCACAATAATTTTGATATGTGTCAAGACATCGAAATCAAATAATTTGTTTCTGCTTAAAAATCTATAACTTGATTAGGAATGCATTAAAAATAATCCTTTCCATGTACACGATGGTTAAACAAAATCCTATACTATATAATCTAAGTATAAATAAAATATATCAGATAATTTCAACATATCTGAAGCTGTGAATACAACAGATATTTAGTATGATATTACTTGAATAGAGGGTACAATGAAAAAGATGAATAATAACTGGAAAAGATTGCCCATGACAGGGTTGAATGGAGAATACTGGTGAGCGGCCTATGATACTTCACGAGGAGTAACAGGCGTAAGTAAGTAAGTAAGTAGATACAATACCCGAGTTTTAACTTTTTCCAAATCAATTTAATGAATCAGTAATTATGGTATTTTTCATATGACCTCCAAATATGCGATTAACCATATTATCAATTTCATTTTCAATCATACAGTAGTGGAAATATTTTTTACAAGATCTTACTTTCGTATTTTTTTTTAAAATTTTAAGGTAAATGTGCAGAGATTCTTTAGATATTATTATGGGCTAAGCTTTTGCAAGTTTTGTTTAATAACTATCATAAAAATCGATTCACGAATATGTGAACATAATGTTTTGATATTCAAACAAATATTAAGCAACTTTCGAAGATTTGAGAAGATTTGTAATATAACTCTAATACATCAATGATTATTCTGTCTGCCAGTTAGCATTTCTTAGATATTCCGTCAACGTTATGAATACGACGTTTGAGCCTCTGAAAAGTTTAAATGCTATGCATACATCACCTATTAAATTACGATGGGAAGTTGAGTTTTTACGTTTTGAAAGGTAGATTGAGAAGTCCCATGATAAGATTTAAATACACTTTATCATTGAAATATTTAATGTCGTTGGAATTATGAGTCGATTTAAGTTAGATCCCCATTGAGAAACTAGAAGCACTGAACGGTCATTTCATCTAGATCGGAACTATTCAACAGTGCGCATCTACGACCACGCATATGGGAATTAAAAGTAGCAACTTCGGACTCATGCTCGAACTCTTAACCCCTACATCACTGAGTCGTAATCCAATGGTTGGGAGTTCGCACGCGAAGCCAGAAGTGATTGTTTCGACTCCCATGTGGGGGCTCGTGGATGCCCACTGTTGTATCCCATACTAAAATGGATCGTCCATTCACGAGTTCTAGGATTTCACTGGTGGCCTAACTTAGAATAGTTGATGATTTCAATGAATTTCAGTAATCTCTACAACCCGTTACTGACACTTAGCACTATATCTATTGACTTTTTTTGATAATCTCTAAAATTTACATCTGTCACATACCGTCATATATTTGAAATGCTTAAAATATACATCTGACTGATCTTTAAACTTATGTGTAGTCACATCTGTCTATAATGCACTCAGTAACCAATTTTCATACTCGAAAATATTTTTGGTGTGTACGGTTGTGCTGTAATTCAAGAGAGAAGTAATAAACGGAAGCCATTTCAAGTGTTAATAAATGGGAGCTAAATAACTTTAGGCACAATACAGATCTTGTATTTATGGATAAGCTCATAAACGTCCTGTTTGTAATTTTACATTTTATTGTTTGTAACAACCAACACTTTCTGTTATAGTAAATGATGTATGAAACAGTCAACAATTGAGGAAGCATGTCGTTTTCAAATGAATTATACAGTAGTATTTACAACTTGTCTATTTTATTCCGGATTCTAATATCCTCATTTAGTCGATAAAATTGGAATAATCTCCAGAGATTCAATCTGTCAATTACGAACAAAATAAATAAACATTCTATAGCTGTGTTTGGATAATAAAAACCGTTAATAATCTAAATGGTGAAAATCAATAAACTTCCTCTTTATATTGCACTATTTAGATTAGCGTCAACTAATATACAGTTTAAAACTGTATCTGTTTAAGCTTTTCTATTTGTTTACATTTTTTATAATAAGTTAGTTTATATATTTTCTTGTCTTAAAATAGTTGGTGCATTTTTAATAATGAATATAACGAAATTATCCTTTTATCACTTACGTGCAGTGTTATCAACTGTTTTCCCATTACACAAGTCAGTGGGACAATTCTCTCTATTTTCGTTTGGGAAGTTAATGGGTATCGTATCATTAAACAAACATATTCTGTGAATTCCAAAATTACTACCACCCATCTGAAAATTAATAAGAAAAAGAACATAAATTAAGATGGATCAAAATAACTTACCGACAAAATTGAAGAAATAACGTACGACACAATTATTAAATAAATGTATTTCCTATGTATGTTAGGAACAGCAACTTATCTAATTATCGTTTCGACTGTAAGAAGAGCAATAACTACGATAAAGATACATTATAGTAAGTCTACACAAAAAATAACTACAAATTGTCATTTCATTCGACATGTAAATAGTAGTCGATCAAAAATTCATGTAATTTATTAGACATAGAAATAGGTGTTTATTAAATGGCCTAACTTACCACGCAAGATGTACAATTGTTTGTTATTGATTCACTCGTTACTATCGGACAATAGTCACATACGTAACAACGTACTGCTTGATATTGATCTATGTTAAATGTAAACAACCATTGGAAATTCAATAATTTAGACTAAATTAATGAAATCTTCTTTTAAAAAAAAATTATAATGTATTTCATTCATTTTTAATAACTTTGTATTAAAACAATAAAAAGGTTACCATCAAACTTTTTTAAGCAAGATATTTCATAAGTTGAAGCAATCATCTCTTAATACATTGTAATACTCTCCATGGGAATTTATATTTTATTGTTGACATCATTTTTCCTTATTTCCTTTTTGTGATCGGTAAGATTTCTGTCGTTTTGTTTTGTTTTCGATATGAAACAAAATCAAACTGTCTAATGATTAAGAATAAAACTTTCAGTGTTCTAGACTAAATGATTAAACATTTACAGATCACATCTACAAATGTTTCTTGTTCATCATTCCTTTTTCTTTGAATCAATTAATATTTATTAACCACAATATATTAAACTTCCATAGAACTCAATCAATCCAAGTTTCACAAGACTGTTCAATAGTAAATAAATGAAATTCTACTATGTGTTTTCCTGTTCATTAAAAAAAATATAAGGAGATAATATTCGTCATTTTGTAGACTATAGGTTATTTGATTATTACATACATGTCCCCTTGGTCCAGTTCAAACTCTGATACTAATAATAATAATAATAATAATAAGGCAGAAGTATACATTCGACAGCATACTGATTTGTTCGAGTTTTGTACAAACTAATTTACAAATGAAAAATCCGTCCATTTTCGCTCCTTCAGACACAAATCATGCGAAATGAATCGGTGTTCAGTGACTTTAAAGACCGATACAAATAATTAGAAATAAACAATTAGTTTATAAATGTCATATTTTATTCAAACCTGGTATTTAAGTGTTATATTTTACGAATATAATGACCACAACCTTAGTTTATTATTGAAAAGTGTATACAAAAACCATGCTAGACTTTCTAATGGCAGTAACACAAACACTCCTGGCCGAATCAGAGCTTACCCCTAACCATCACTTGGATTGATAACTTTAATTGATTAGTATCGAAAATGGCCAATATTCCCATTATCACTGAATTTATTTAATGATCAGCACAATGTAATAACACTTTTGTCATCTAACATTTCACAGACTGATTTTTTTATTACGAGAACGAATTATCGACTTAGAGTATACAAATGACGAAAATCAATTTTGATGAAAACGTAAACCATATTCATTCTTCAGAATGCACTAAGTAATGTAAACTATTCGAAGTAAATCTCTCTACCTTTAAATGGGAAATGTTGCTTCGGGACTGGGGTACATTATTACCGAAATAGATCATATGAAATGAATTAGTTGAGGAGGTTGACTACTTCATTTATCTCGGAAATCCCGTCAACCCTGGTAGATCGGAGGCTGACGATATTCATGGGTGGATTCAGAAAGCATTCTTAGCTTTTTCCAAAAATTGTGGTGCAGGCAAGTTTTCCCCCTTTCAACAAAAGTCTATGGTCATATGTGCGCCTCAAGTTTATACATATATATATAGGTGTCTGCGAAGCACCGGTCACTCATGGTAAACAATGGATTAAACAGTACTGAAGTAGAGTCCTAGATAAAGCTGGCAAATCAGTTTTAAATAGCTGTAAAACTTCATCGCCTGAGGTGATAAGATGTATCAGGGACTTCAAACTGTCACCTACTGCGACATGGAAAGTGGGCTAATGTAAGACCACGTTAGTAGAATTCATTCGGCATTGATTTGAGTCATGTTGATGGGTGAAGTTCAAGTGTCTGAGGGTTCGCTTCTATCAACGATTTAAGATCCTAAGTGACATGTCTCGAAATCGGCGGTATTAGAGTAAATAGATCCGTTATTTATCTTTCTCTATATTTTGAGCATCAGGAATACTTCATATTATTTACTCCATATTTCCCGTTCGTCTTTCAAAACACTATTTCCTACTTATACTGAAAATGATATTTTTTTCAAACCAAATGTTCTTCACCACGTTCTTTCTAAATCACTGTGTTAGCATTTCATGGTAATGTGGAGACATGTACATTTCTGCTCAATTATGAGTTGATCATGATTGACTTTATTGTTATTCTTTCTAGTTGATAGATACAAACCTCAAATGTCAAACAGTACATATATTTGAGTGATTTTTCCTTACAAAGCGACATAAATTCTAGTCTTTACTTATCAAACAAACAACCTATTAAATATAGATAGGAAAAAGATATCTATTCTACCGGATCGAAATAAAATACTAACTGAAAAGAATTTGATTGCACCTTCTTCAATTGGAATCCAGATGATAGGAATGTAACACAAAGCTTAACAAAGAACATTCCCATCCCAAAATCAAACTGAATTACTTACGTTTATTCAAAATATTCACCATAATGTACAAAAAGATTGCAAAATATTCCAAGCCACTTTTCATCCTCTAATCACTTGGAGATGTATGCGAATAAAGTTCCGAGAAATAAGTTTAGCTACACAAGCATGGAAATAAATTTATCCGTGTGAAAAACGTCAATGGTCCTATGATAGACATTCGTGTCTGGACTACAATTACTGACCAATCAAAAGCCAGTAAATTGCTATTCAATCGGTGTGTCCGTTAATTACAAACATGTCTGTCTCAACTTCATTGAACCGTTGATAAAAACGAGCCTTATAATGAATAAAATGTTAATTTTAAGCTGATTCGTTTGTCCTTTTTCTGGGTAATTCGAATGTAGTCAAATGACAACTTTTCTTACGTCCATAATTTATACCTTTTATGGAAATCCGTAAAACATGGATCACAAGACCTGGAAGACAAAGGTTATTAGAATTATGTGATGTATTTGCTCAACACAGTTTAAGAATGGGATGAATGAATCACGGAACGAACAAATAAACATTTACAATTTAGATGATTCCCCATTTATATCGCATTAGAATTGTTTACAGTAATTGCAGTTTTGAACAAAAGAGTTTAACACCATTTAAATAAATGAATATTTTACGTAGTCCAAGTAACAAACCGTGAGGTCCGCCTACGTCACTGAGATAAAAGTTTTGTTTCATTAGAGCATCAAAGTTGTTATGTCTCCACATCATTTACTATTGTTAGCTCAATTCTTTAGAGGCAGTTAATAATCGAATGGAACGATTATTCAGAGTGAATATTTCATAGTATCCTAAACAATTTGATTTTTATCAAGACTAAATTTTATTCCATATTATTTTTAATCCTTTTACACATGTAGAATGGAAATGTATGTGTAGCGTGGCGTCGAGTTGAGATTAACTGTGAACACCGCTACCAAGAAACACGTGCCAGATAAATCAGAAGGCGAGTATTGAACGTAACCAGATTTATTTCGTTGGCGATCTCGTGGTATTGAACGAATACCGAGATCGTGCCAAGAAAAGGTACAAGCGAAAGCAGAAGACAGGAGTACGTGCGAACAGTACCAAAAACCGCGGAACAATGATGGAAGGTAATGGAAGCACAAAATGGCTATAATTAGCACAGTTAAACAAAAACACATTAAAACAAACACTGGTACAGTTGGTTGTAATAATAATTGTTTTTATTAAACCAGTCGTGTTCTCGTGATAAACGTGAGTCACTACATATGAAAATCAACAGTTAATGGAGTACAGTGGATACAATCTTGAATAAAATGTCAACATATTTCTATGTTGACCAATTGTTCTCTCTATAAGACGTTTTATTCGTCCTTCTATTATTCACTTTTTTTATGCAAATGAAGCCTGTTAGTCAGAAATGAAACGAATGAACAATTTCTCCTAAGTTGTTATTAACACAATAATTTTCAGAATATCATTGAACCATTCAATGTAATGCATGACCAGTTACCGTTGTAAAAGATTATTTTTCCCCACTATTTCCCTACAATTTTGTTGATCAATCAACACTACTTTTTTGAAGTAACCATACATCTGTAGTTAAACTATGCGAGTAATTTAAATGCCCTATTCAGAGAATCTTATATTTATCCTCTGTTAGTTTGATAAGTCGATTTATCTGATTAATTTTCTTTTATATATATTCACTACTAAGAAGAAAGAATTCCACTCAAAGGGCCTTTCTTATTATTTTATTACTACGCAAATACACAACAAAACAAAACATCATCTTATGTCATCATTTCTGTTACTATATCAATGAATTTTTAACAATGTATGTAGTAGAACGTCTTATGTAAAACCAATGAAATTAAAGATTCGTATAATTTTTTGTTCTGAGATATACATTTACTGAAAGGCCATATTAATTATTTTAAGCAATTATTTGTTTCACTGGTTGAAATCATTAGCCAATTGAAGCTAAACCACCATGGAAAACCTGGAAGAAATGGATGGCCGTTTCGTCCTAGTATAGGACTCCTCAGGCCGGAACGGCCGTCCAGTGCTTCCAGGTTTTCCATGATGGTCTAGCTTCAATTGACTCATGATTTCAACCAGTGAAAATTCTATAATCTCCACAAAACCCCTTCTGATAGATATTTGTTTATCATATGGATTAACTGACGCACCATCTTTTTACCAGTGCTATGCAAATTTGATGTTTGTCTGTCTCAGATTAATAATCAGAACGCTTTGTATTAGGCTGATGTATATGTATATGACTACTAGTACTACTACTACTACTACTACTACTACTACTACTACTACTACTACTACTACTACTACTACTACTACTACTACTACTACTACTACTACTACTACTACTACTACTACTACTACTACTACTACTACTACTACTACTACTACTACTACTACTACTACTACTACTACTACTACTACTACTACTACTACTACTACTACTACTACTACTACTACTACTACTACTACTACTACTACTACTACTACTACTACTACTACTACTACTACTACTACTACTACTACTACTACTACTACTACTACTACTACTACTACTACTACTACTACTACTACTACTACTACTACTACTACTACTACTACTACTACTACTACTACTACTACTACTACTACTACTACTACTACTACTACTACTACTACTACTACTACTACTACTACTACTACTACTACTACTACTACTACTACTACTACTACTACTACTACTACTACTACTACTACTACTACTACTACTACTACTACTACTACTACTACTACTACTACTACTACTACTACTACTACTACTACTACTACTACTACTACTACTACTACTACTACTACTACTACTACTACTACTACTACTACTACTACTACTACTACTACTACTACTACTACTACTACTACTACTACTACTACTACTACTACTACTACTACTACTACTACTACTACTACTACTACTACTACTACTACTACTACTACTACTACTACTACTACTACTACTACTACTACTACTACTACTACTACTACTACTACTACTACTACTACTACTACTACTACTACTACTACTACTACTACTACTACTACTACTACTACTACTACTACTACTACTACTACTACTACTACTACTACTACTACTACTACTACTACTACTACTACTACTACTACTACTACTACTACTACTACTACTACTACTACTACTACTACTACTACTACTACTACTACTACTACTACTACTACTACTACTACTACTACTACTACTACTACTACTACTACTACTACTACTACTACTACTACTACTACTACTACTACTACTACTACTACTACTACTACTACTACTACTACTACTACTACTACTACTACTACTACTACTACTACTACTACTACTACTACTACTACTACTACTACTACTACTACTACTACTACTACTACTACTACTACTACTACTACTACTACTACTACTACTACTACTACTACTACTACTACTACTACTACTACTACTACTACTACTACTACTACTACTACTACTACTACTACTACTACTACTACTACTACTACTACTACTACTACTACTACTACTACTACTACTACTACTACTACTACTACTACTACTACTACTACTACTACTACTACTACTACTACTACTACTACTACTACTACTACTACTACTACTACTACTACTACTACTACTACTACTACTACTACTACTACTACTACTACTACTACTACTACTACTACTACTACTACTACTACTACTACTACTACTACTACTACTACTACTACTACTACTACTACTACTACTACTACTACTACTACTACTACTACTACTACTACTACTACTACTACTACTACTACTACTACTACTACTACTACTACTACTACTACTACTACTACTACTACTACTACTACTACTACTACTACTACTACTACTACTACTACTACTACTACTACTACTACTACTACTACTACTACTACTACTACTACTACTACTACTACTACTACTACTACTACTACTACTACTACTACTACTACTACTACTACTACTACTACTACTACTACTACTACTACTACTACTACTACTACTACTACTACTACTACTACTACTACTACTACTACTACTACTACTACTACTACTACTACTACTACTACTACTACTACTACTACTACTACTACTACTACTACTACTACTACTACTACTACTACTACTACTACTACTACTACTACTACTACTACTACTACTACTACTACTACTACTACTACTACTACTACTACTACTACTACTACTACTACTACTACTACTACTACTACTACTACTACTACTACTACTACTACTACTACTACTACTACTACTACTACTACTACTACTACTACTACTACTACTACTACTACTACTACTACTACTACTACTACTACTACTACTACTACTACTACTACTACTACTACTACTACTACTACTACTACTACTACTACTACTACTACTACTACTACTACTACTACTACTACTACTACTACTACTACTACTACTACTACTACTACTACTACTACTACTACTACTACTACTACTACTACTACTACTACTACTACTACTACTACTACTACTACTACTACTACTACTACTACTACTACTACTACTACTACTACTACTACTACTACTACTACTACTACTACTACTACTACTACTACTACTACTACTACTACTACTACTACTACTACTACTACTACTACTACTACTACTACTACTACTACTACTACTACTACTACTACTACTACTACTACTACTACTACTACTACTACTACTACTACTACTACTACTACTACTACTACTACTACTACTACTACTACTACTACTACTACTACTACTACTACTACTACTACTACTACTACTACTACTACTACTACTACTACTACTACTACTACTACTACTACTACTACTACTACTACTACTACTACTACTACTACTACTACTACTACTACTACTACTACTACTACTACTACTACTACTACTACTACTACTACTACTACTACTACTACTACTACTACTACTACTACTACTACTACTACTACTACTACTACTACTACTACTACTACTACTACTACTACTACTACTACTACTACTACTACTACTACTACTACTACTACTACTACTACTACTACTACTACTACTACTACTACTACTACTACTACTACTACTACTACTACTACTACTACTACTACTACTACTACTACTACTACTACTACTACTACTACTACTACTACTACTACTACTACTACTACTACTACTACTACTACTACTACTACTACTACTACTACTACTACTACTACTACTACTACTACTACTACTACTACTACTACTACTACTACTACTACTACTACTACTACTACTACTACTACTACTACTACTACTACTACTACTACTACTACTACTACTACTACTACTACTACTACTACTACTACTACTACTACTACTACTACTACTACTACTACTACTACTACTACTACTACTACTACTACTACTACTACTACTACTACTACTACTACTACTACTACTACTACTACTACTACTACTACTACTACTACTACTACTACTACTACTACTACTACTACTACTACTACTACTACTACTACTACTACTACTACTACTACTACTACTACTACTACTACTACTACTACTACTACTACTACTACTACTACTACTACTACTACTACTACTACTACTACTACTACTACTACTACTACTACTACTACTACTACTACTACTACTACTACTACTACTACTACTACTACTACTACTACTACTACTACTACTACTACTACTACTACTACTACTACTACTACTACTACTACTACTACTACTACTACTACTACTACTACTACTACTACTACTACTACTACTACTACTACTACTACTACTACTACTACTACTACTACTACTACTACTACTACTACTACTACTACTACTACTACTACTACTACTACTACTACTACTACTACTACTACTACTACTACTACTACTACTACTACTACTACTACTACTACTACTACTACTACTACTACTACTACTACTACTACTACTACTACTACTACTACTACTACTACTACTACTACTACTACTACTACTACTACTACTACTACTACTACTACTACTACTACTACTACTACTACTACTACTACTACTACTACTACTACTACTACTACTACTACTACTACTACTACTACTACTACTACTACTACTACTACTACTACTACTACTACTACTACTACTACTACTACTACTACTACTACTACTACTACTACTACTACTACTACTACTACTACTACTACTACTACTACTACTACTACTACTACTACTACTACTACTACTACTACTACTACTACTACTACTACTACTACTACTACTACTACTACTACTACTACTACTACTACTACTACTACTACTACTACTACTACTACTACTACTACTACTACTACTACTACTACTACTACTACTACTACTACTACTACTACTACTACTACTACTACTACTACTACTACTACTACTACTACTACTACTACTACTACTACTACTACTACTACTACTACTACTACTACTACTACTACTACTACTACTACTACTACTACTACTACTACTACTACTACTACTACTACTACTACTACTACTACTACTACTACTACTACTACTACTACTACTACTACTACTACTACTACTACTACTACTACTACTACTACTACTACTACTACTACTACTACTACTACTACTACTACTACTACTACTACTAATGGTTTGTTGGAGGTATTATGTGTTTTTTTGGTCCATGTTCGTTTGATTGTTTAACTGCTATCAATTTGTTAGTGAGTCTAGTGATTTTGGGTTATATACGTGTGAATATATTAATATTGTTTCAATAAATTTCTTTAGATATGTATACTCAATTTGATTCTGAGCACAGTCAAACTGTTATTAAGGATAAGCGAATGAAAATTATAGTTCAAAATAACTTTCCTAATTCCCTATTTATTTGATCTGAACGCATCTAATATTATCGAACATAAATGAATCAATTTGTTGCACATCGAGTGTGCATTTTCTGTTTGAAAAGTTTTATCTCTCTGTTTTAACTATTTTCAGATAAGATATCTATCTAGATATTGAAAACTGAATGATGATGAAAAGAAGTAAGACAGAGTTTTCACATATTTATTCTGAGTGATTTTTAACTCGTTGTTAGTAGTAGAATTAATAATTTCAATTGTTTGACGCACACTGTTGACTAGATTTCAACTACCATAAAATCGCATAACAGTACTCTATGCTTTATTATATTCAATCTCTTTCTAGTATGAAAATTAACTTGATGTTAATGGGTTCGTAAAATATGATACAAAGATAAAACCGGCACAAATGCTGAAATAATGCTCCTATTGTGTGAAACGGAAACTTCATTGAGATTTATTCTTAATAAAATGAATCGAATATCTTTCTAGTTAATGTCTCTATATTAATTTGTACGTTTTTAATTAGTTTCACCTATTCTCAGTAGTTGTTCTTTTTCTCTAATATAGAAGCCACTAATCTATTGCAAAGATTAGTTCAATCAATATGTTTCTCAGAAAAATGAAAATATTTCCGAAACAAAAAAAATAATCTTTTTGTTTAATAGACATTAGGAAATGTATGGTTTCGTTATGTCAAATTTCAGATTTTGACTGGAAGCAACGTAATATTGATAAAATTATTCTTAGAGCATGTATGCTATCTGTTTTGTCCATGAATAATGATTGTAAACAGACCACACGATTGTGAGTAACTATCATTCACCGACATAATGAAAAAAATCTTATGTAACGACCAATACCTATTTAGCGAAAAAAAGTCGTTTGTTAGAACAATAAAACTGATTTGATTTTTTATAACACAAGTATTCATTCATACAACATGACGTGAGTGAAAAATTTGAATTTTTGGGTAATAACACAATATATTTACATTGACAAAGAGATAAATCAATAATACGAGTCTAGATGTCAGCCGACAAAGCCCGAAAGTAAAATATACAAGATAATCGACTACAAACGAAGCCATTAAAAAGAAATAATATAAATATTTTGGAATAAATAGAATTCTTTGTTCTGAATGAATTAGGCACTGACGTTATCAAAAATGATAGGAAGAGCTAAGTGCATAAACCATTTAAGTAAGAGTACACAACATCCTCATAAGTGTCCACCTGATCTACAAACGTTTTCCACTATTTCAAGACCAAATAAGTATATGTACACTTTTTGATAATATTTGGAAAACTAATATGGATCAGAAGATGAACATTGATGAGTTAGCTGTCCATCCTATCTTTAAATATACTCATACTAAAAAGAACAAAAATTTTAGCTAGAATCTGGTTTTAGTTAATGTTGATATTTCACATTAAAATATCATTAGTGTCTGTGAACTTATCAACTCAGTATATGATTTTGGAAAATGTTGGGTAAATTTCACTTTGAATTTATATAAATATAACAAGATGAATCAAGCTACGACATTTAAGAACATTTAAGAAAGTATATCACTAGTAAAAAGTTTTGAAATATTACTCAGGATATGCTTAATACTCCCTAATCAACTGGCTTCACTGATAAACAGGGAAAATCAGATGCAGACGTTTAGGCAAGAATTGGAAAAGCAAGGACCCAAGACGAAGTTGGATGGAGAATGTTCGTGATTAGACTATGCTCCTACATGAGGGGTGACAGGCTTAAGTAAGTAAGTAATTAAATTGCTTGATGCTGGAGTAACTTTGCTAGAAATGAAAAAAATCGTTGATAACTGAATGAAGTATTTTGGAAATTGGGGATTTGCTTTGGATGATTCAGATAATAGAAATTATATGGTTAATAATGATAATAATATCTACCACATTGGTCATTTGATAAGCCTACAAATGATATTTTGTAGAAAAGGTCAAAATATACCTATCGATAAATGTAGGTATATAAGAGAACAATTCAAAACTATTGGCATCTAAAAATGTCTATACATAGAGATGTTGAGTATCAAAGTACACATCGAACATTTCAACAGATGATAAATTGAATTAAATTACTATGTCATAAACGCTTGCAATTAGTTATCAGAACAATATATTCTGCTTAATTAAAAGATCAAATGAAATGCAGATAAATATATTAACTCTGTTTACTTACATTAATGGTCGTCTATTACTTTATTATTACACAAATCTGAAGTGCATACACATTCGGATTATTCATTCGAACGTTTCAACTGTTTTCTAAACATATTCTGTGTACAGAATGATCTGCACCACCAACCTATAATCTAATTAAACTAACACAACAATATCCACCAAGTAATTTTATAAAATGAATATGCTGAGAAACGATTAAGTAAGCAATTTTGTATCTAATGCATTATCAATCTTGCTTGCCATGATGACATGACTCAATAATGTTTGTTACGTAATTCTTCGAGAGGATGCAGAAGATTTTTAGCTCAGGTGGATTATTTTGATGGAGTTTTGTTCTCTGAGCTGAACAGTTTGGTTGTGAAGCTTTTATCGTTCTTCTGAACAACGTCATCAGGTAGAATTGAAGTGTTCACTTCTACCATCCAGCTTAGAGAACAAAGCACAATTCTTCGCATGACACTTATTGTTAGTCTTCACTTGTCATCTGATTTTCACTCACTTAATCAATTTTGTCTTAAGAATTATCTAACAAAAACTTTAATATCTTATTTCCAGATAATCCTATTTTTGTGCCTTCAGTTTTATATTCTAAAATATTCTGGTGTTCAACTAATAAATATTCACATTATTTGGCATATAATTATATTTTATCGTTCTTCCATACTTACTACTCTACCATTAATCTCCATTAATGAGATTTTTTTCAGTGTTATGATATAATTAAGCTAATTTTAATGAATAATACTAATATGTTTAGGTGGTAATCAGCTGATGAGAAATTGTGAAACATGGTAAATTCATGTTATTCTGCTACGTTAATTGTTGTTGTATTAGTCAAATTATTAAAATGTCAGATAAGATAAACTTACAAAGAACGGTAGTTTATTCAGTATTCATTTGAGTATAATTATATCAATGAAAACGGGGATGAGTAGACGGTTTAGCACTACCATGATTGAACTATGAATCTGATTGCTACTTTTTTCAATTATTAGAAGTATTAGTTTACTGTTTGCTCTGAGCTCAATTTGTAAGTAAATCAAAATTCTGATGAAACTATTGTTATCTACTGGATAGCAATGTGAGACACTTGTTTCTTTTGAAATTTAGCGAAATACCTATCCTTCAAAGGTTCTCGGAGTAATCATTCACAGTCACAGTTGAAAATATTATGGCCAAGATATTAGGCTTACAACCGTATCGCTCATATGGGATACCCTAAATTAAGTATATTGCACCGACTAGTAGGAGAATTTATTCGAAATTATGAGATATTTTGTACGCCGTAATTAGTTTTGTCCCTTTCATACTGATGAAGTCAAATAAAAAGAAAATAATCATTGTAAATTTCAGACTAATGAAAAAGTCAATTTATTTTTGTGTGCTGAAGAAGAAATCATAGTTCTGAAACGTACATAAAATGTACACTAACTTTTAGAAACTCGGAAATATTTACTGCAAAAGTTAACTCACTGAACATGAAGTACAGATTCCACTTAATGTTGAAAACGCTGATACTACCAGACTACATTCACATACATCCCATTTTTAACCAAATATATTTAATCTGTTTAAAACAAAGTAAGAATATGTCATATACAGAATATTTTTATTTTAAAATCAGTAAAATACTCGTCAGTTCAATAGGTAATATGATTGTCTTAATCATCACTGGGATCAGACAGCATAAAAACCACCACGACATTTTCAGAAAATATTCATCCTCAACTCAACACAATCAATCAGTCAATCAATTCACATTTCATCATATTCGAAAATGTATTGAATGCTGAGATTGATTTTTCTGATTCACAAATTTCGTAAGAGGAAAACAATGTATTTTGATGTTAAAGAATAGAACTAAATAAGCTGGCGGATGGGCGATGAAAGAATTCATTCATTGATTAATTTAAAATAAAACAGTCTAGGCAAACTATTCAACGTTGATTAGTATGCAAGTGGATTGAATGAGATCTATGATTATTGTTTATTCATTTGATCATGTCATAGGAGAATCTTATGATTATATAAATATCTGATATGTTGTTGTTTGATGAGAATCAAACAATTGTGACGAAGTACTTCAATGAATAAGTGGGCAGTGAAAGTATTTTTCTATATACTATCACAATTGATCATTCGTATTTAAGGTTGTAGGACACGTACTTGTGTAGATCATTTATGAATTCATAAAATGATAAGGAATGTAATTATTAAGCTTAATTCTCATCTGTAATATGTCATTCTCTACTATGAAGTGTTCACTGAAAATTGTTCAGAATAAATATGAATTTTGGAACTGTTTGATAGGAATAAAATAAAATGAACTAGTACATATAAAAGACGATTGCTATCAACTTCAATGAAATATGTATATACAAGATCACTCAGTTGAAAATGCTCAGTGAAGTGCTTAAATTACATTATACCATATCACTTCCTTTACGAAATATTGATGGTTATATGTTAAGGAATGTAAATTTAATGAAAAAACAAAATATATTCTTCAGAATGTGAATTGAATTATTACATCTTTTGAGTATATTTAATAAACATTACATCAAGGTCCCTAAATATAGAAAACCTCTACTCATTATTAAACAGCTAAATATGCTGTAGCAACACTCCAACT